GGAATAATTGAAGAAGATTATGAGATATAAAAGTTTCTTTTTTTTATTTTTATTTTTCTAATTTCTATTTAAAATAAATAAAAAATTGGAATTAATTTGAAAGAAAACCAAGAACCTTTAATCGGGTCGAACATTTCAACAATTAAACTATTTGGGTCAACAGTTCTCTGAGCATTTCAACTATTTTTTTTTTTTTTGTAAAATAGTGGTTCAGGGCCATAACAGAATTGGTGACATGACCAGTTCCCAGGCCAAACAGTTCAACTGTCCAGTCTAGTTTAGTTTTTAAAATAGTGACTAAAATACTCATTTTTGAATTTGGTTCCTATTTAATTTCAAGGTTTAAATTGTAAATTGAACTACTACTTTTCACCTCATTCAATTTCCTCTATTTAAATTTTACATTTTTTTAATTAATGAACAAAAGAAAAAAGATACACCAAGAAGATAAAACACTACAAAAAGAAGAGTCTAGCCAAACAGGTAGACCTATTAGTGAAACTTGAAACTTTACAATTCAATCTAATTATCACATATTTGGATGAACTATTTATGTAATCAAATTTGGTTTTTGACAATCTACATCTAATTAATAATAAAAAAATAAAAAATGCATAAAGTTAATAGAAAATTTTAGATATATTATTACTATAATTATCATTATCTAGAATTGTCATGTATAAAATAGGTGCACACTTACTAATATCTCAAAACACCTTGAGGATTAGATCTCGCTCCAATGAGACCCAAACTCCTGGTCCCCGCCTTTAGCTTTTTAAAACCTTGAATGAAAGAGATAGCACGTTTCTAACAAATCACTCTCTAGTCATGTGATGTAACAATAGCCACCAGCATTATGCCCTTTCGGGTGTTGAAAGAGAGAGCCCCTTCTATGGTTCTATGGCCATAGATCTGAAAACAACAGTGACAGAGATGATGTGGCAATGTAATAAAAGTGTCAATTCAAAGTCCAAGCAAGAAAATTGTGTCTGATATGGCCAAATTAAACTGGCCACATCATCACTAAAAAACACCTGCAGTAGGAAATTAAAGTTCAAATCAAATTAAATTTTTAGGGATATTAGACAACATGGTTTTGTTTTTTAAAAGAAAAACAACTGCCATGTCAGTAAAAGCAATACAATTTTGCTTTTGATTTAAAAAACAAAACCTCCTTATAGTAGTCTATCACGTGCAACGCACGGTTACTTGTATAAGACCCCAAGCATCAAAAGCTTTAAATTTTGAAGCAGCTAGTAACGTGTACACCTGTTCATGGGCCGGGCCGGGTTTTTACTCTATATTAACAGATTTTTTTAAGGCCCGAGCTCGGCCCTCATAAAAAGCTCGAAACCTTGGCTTGGGCCCGAGCTCGAAATTTAGCTCATGCTGTTATTACTGCTGAAACGGCTGGATAGAGAGAGAGAGTGAGAGAGAAATTATAAAGAAAAAATTAAAAATGCATATATCAAATTATAAATATATATATATATATATATATATTTAAATAAATACTATATTATTTATATATTTTATATAACATATAATGCTGAGTCGAGCCAGGCCAGACTTTTTTGACAAATCCCGAGCCCGGCCCGAAATATAGTCGGGCTTACTGTATTAGACTCGAAGTTAGGCCCACGGGCCTAATTACATAACCAAATCCGATCGGGGTGCAGGCCGGGCCATAGAGCTACCCGGCCCGTTAACAGGTCTAATCACGTGGATGGAAAAAGCTGTTTGGAACTTTTTAATTACTACCATTGACTCTTCTATAAAGATGAGATCATGAGATCAAACTCTTACTTTAGTTCGATTATAACTTTTTTCTACATGATACGCAAATGGTCGGTGTCCCACGCAGCAAGCAAGTCACATCAAACACCTAACTTTATTAATTAATATTAGTAGGAAAGCCTGTGTATTTGCATGAATAAGGAAAATACCAAGACTAGACCCATAAAGCAACAAACAGAGTAGGAGTTCTAGACAGATTAAAAAAAGTTAAAGAGACAGATTAGAGATAGGTACCCTAGTGCTCACATGATAGACAAAAATAGGTTATAGAGGAGGGCCATTACTTGATGCCTTGGTGGAATGATAAAGTCTTGGTCTATCACGCCTGAGAACGAAAGTTTTGAGTCTGAAAATAGTAAGGTTTTAAAAACCGGATTGGATACGAAATCATTTTGGTTATCGGTTTTCTGGTTTGAATGAATGGCTCGTTCTGATTAAAAAAATATAATTAAAATAAAAGGCTAAAAACTATTGTCCGGATCAACTGCCTAGGTCAGCAGGTCGCTGACCAAATCAACGTATTTTAGTTTAGGAACAGTTTTAGGGTGAAATAGAATCGATTACCTTATTGGTTCTTGGATCAATCAGTCCGACCATCTGGTCCAGTCTGATTTTCAAAGCCATAGAAAACAGCCACTTTGTGAAATAATAAAATATAATCCCTAGAGTTTAGCTCACTGCTTTGCATCCGCCTCCTTCCATAAAAAGAAATAAATAAACGAAAGATGTCATCCTTCCTGTGATATAAAACCATTATCTCACAAATAGAAATTTTTTTTCTGTACAAAAGAAATTCAACAAATTACAATTTCATGAGTTGCTACATGTTTGTTTTCCTTGAACTGTCGTCTATGGTCGGTAAAGCATAAATCTATGGTCGTCTATGGACTTTGTCTAAATCAAAATTAATTTGAATGGATTGAATGGACCAATAAGATGTATTGAATTGGACCAGTTCAAACTTAAGGATCCAAAATATTTATTGGATTGGATTGGACTTGTCCCATCTATAATAGATTTATATTGGATTGGTTGGATTGAATCAATATCCGGTCCTTAGATAGTAAGAGATACAAGTGTCGATGGACCAAGTTTGGACCGGAACCAATTTGAACAAGTTTGATGGTCCAAACATTGAATTGGACCGGTCCAAAATGATACAAAGTATTCATCAAATTGAATTGTACCTGATCCATTTGTAATGGACTTATGTTGGACGAGAAATTCGGTCCAATTGACAGCATAGGGTGGTTTGATCAGGAATTGCCTTGTTCAAATTAATTCATCTGAAATTAAGTTTACAGGGTTGAGGTTACTCGAATCAAACTCAGCTAGAGAAAACATGACTCATTGATTAATGAATAAGAAGCCATTTGGGCATGTAACTCGGAAATAAGTTTCCTTAATTTGACTGGTTAATTATATTTCTAGCAAGGATATATAAGAAGATATTGTTTGGGTGATTGCTGAGCTGGCCTAAGGGTGCCACATGGCAGATTCTATGGCCTCCCTCTTCGAGCTGCGTCAGCATCAGCTGTGTAACGAGAGAGCATGAGCAAGAAGGAGTGTCCCACAAGGACAAGTGGATTCCACTGGGGAAGAGGGAACCCCCCCAAAGATCTTAGTGCACAACTTCATCCCGACAACCCCAGAAGTCCTAATTGACCAGAACATAGATATTCAACTATAAATAGGCATTTCCCGCTCGAGGTAAGGGACTTTTCGGAGCTCTTCACTCACTACCTCTTCGTACCATCTCTTCATCTTGGAACTAGCATTGTTTCAACCTACTCATCCTGGCCAGCCCTTTGCACCCCACTGATTTGAACGTCAGAGTGCCTACCTGGGGAATAATTCTTTGGGCCTCTGACCCTTCCTATGGTTGTAGATCTTGGTGTGTGACTTTATCCTTCCACCTCGATCTCATCCAATTAACAGAAATATCTAACTGCATCCTCAGTTCGAAATATCTCGAATCGAACAGCATCACATATATACATGGGTCGATAGGTAGTATAATCAGGAATTAATTAAACGAGTAGGAAACTTAGTGACAGGTCACTATATTTGGTGCACTTGTTGGATTTATTGGGGGAGAGAAAACTAATAGGTAATAGTATTTATATAAATAAATATTTTAACTATTATAATATAAATGACAAACTACATACATATAATATAATATTATTTTTAACTTTGAGGCACAGCCTGCATGCAGTCTTACTATATATTACTGGTACTGTATAGCATGTTATTAGCACACTTGATGTTGATATAAAGATATTTGTACAAATAATCAAACAAGAATATGTATTAAGGTTGCTGCCTTGTTATTTATATATATAAAGCTTAAAAGTTGCTTTTAACCAAATATCTGGAGTACAGGTTCCAAAAATGCTATTGTTATTTATTTTTTGATCCATTTTTTATACATATACAAGAGAGAGAGAGAGGGGGGGGGGGCACATTTGGTGGAGGTCTAATACATAAACACTTACATATGAATGCATGGGCTTTAGACTCCCTTCAATTTTCTATTCTTTAATTAAGGCTAAATTTGGTTTGAAGAAATAGGGAAATATAGGAAAATCTATACAAAATTTGTAAAAGTTTTCTTATCTTTTTTGTCAATCCAAACACAGCCTAAAGGTGCAACCATGATTTGGGATCATGTAACCCTAGTTGAGTGTGTGGGGGGATGGGGGTTCGATCAAAACAATCGCACGTACACGTGTCCCTTCTAAGTCTCTTCTTTGTTAGTGTGAAGTACGAATGCCTCACCACGTCCACGTGACAGTCTGTTATATTTAATTCAAGAGCTAGCCAGCCCCTTTTCTTTTAGCGCGTCCAGTCAAATACGTGTATGGCCGAGATTAAAGGAGTCTCTCTCAAACCAGCAAACCTAACCATTTTTTAAATATCGACGGTCTGTGTTTCTTCAACGGATATTTCATATCTAAATCTGACGGTCAACGTCGAATGGACGGTTGCCGCCCTTCAGCATCTGGTCTTGAAGTTCGCAGCAGGCCAGCAGCCGCTCGTATGGGTAGTCCACTTCCACTTGTCGGCCGATTGGGAGAAATTATCCAAGAAATTGAAAATGAGATAGCCGTTGGACGGTTGGACCTCCCTCTTTTCTATAAAAAAGAGATGTCGATGCATGGTTCATACTCATACCTGTGTATATTATTTGATGAGTTTCTTCTTCTTCCAGTTCCACATCTCCACATCTTCTCTTTGCTCACTTGAATGTTTCCTTTATACTTAGCTCTGAATCTGTAAGGATTTCAAAGAAAAACCTTTATATCTCTCTGATCTCTTTCTAGGGTTTTTTAGTTAAGTTTGGAAGTTGAATTAGGAAAAATAATCAACAATATATGGAAGCCGTCCCGTTACATCCTTCTTTCCACCAATCAACCTCTGCTTACAGACACAGCGGAAGGATTCACAAAAGAAACAGCCACATCTTCATTTCCCGACCTTCTGACAACGTCGACGCTCATTCTTCAAGCCACCTCTTCAACATTCATAGGCCTCCACCATTTCTCTCTTCCGTTCACTTTTCTGTTCTCAATCCACAACAGCAGCCACCTCTCCTTCCTCTTCCTGTCCCAAACCCCAAGGCCTATTCTTCTCTCCCATCCAGAGACAGAGGCCGCTCATGTCCTCCAACTAACAGAAGAAGCACCAGAACCAGAGAAAAAGAACTCACACCAAACAAGTCCAAATCTTCCATCACCCGTCCTAGAAAACATGATTTAAAATCAACCATGACGACAACATCATCAACGGAGAGTTTGGTGATCACGTCATCTCATCGGTTGGGGCCGGAACCGAGTGATCTTCCGAAGGAAGTATCTAGGGTTTTGAAACCTGTAGTCTCATCATCAACATCAACGACTACTGTTACAACGGTCATTAGAGATACAGAAAAGTTTTCCGGTTCTATTTTCTATCACTCCCCTCCTCCTAGCAGCTTGCCTTTACCGAAATTCTATCTGACGCCGAAGCTCAGTTGCAATGTCGAAGCCTGTGGGATTGATGCCAGAGCGACTGATAATCTCCGTCGACTGTTACGTCTCCGTTAATTATTATTATTATTATTATTAGCCTCTCTCTCTCTCTCTCTCGCGCGCGCGCGCGCGCATGAACTCATGTGAGAGTTTGCTTTTGTGACGTAGGGGTTTTGTGTAAATAAGAGAGGGATTCAGTTCCCATAAAACGGTGATCACACAGTATTCTCACAGCCACTGTATGGGAATATCTCGCGATAAATAAAAAATATTTGCAAGTAGCTGTGAGGATGGTGTGAGCATCGTTTTATGAGGATTGAAGCAGGAAGGTTGGAACTTATGTGATGATCATCACCTGGTGTGTTTTTTTAATCAGAGGTGCATTGCAAAGAGTTCAGATCTTCTACCAATAAACTTTCACAACACTTTCCCAATTAGCCATGAGAGTCGCACAGCATGCGGGAACATCTCATCTCCCCAGTTCCATGAATGACAAGAGAGATGTTGTCAAAGTGTGTGAGTGCAGTGGCCTGTTGGGAGAGTTGGGAGTGTTTTATTGGTAGCAGATCCTTACAATCCAAAGTTTCGAGTTGCATTGCTTTTGCTTTTTACGTTTACACGATGTATGTAATTTGAAATGTTAAATACTATACTAATTTCCACTGTTTTATGGTAGGTATTTAGTTTCTAATTTTCATTTGATTTTTTATTTCATTTTTGTTATTTTATAGGAAAATTTTCAAATTAATAATACCCTGGCTAATTTTGAGCCTAGTGTCACTTAAGCTGTCACTTACGTGCCAATCTAGTAAAAGGACACAAATGCCCTTAAGCTGTCATCAAATTTCTTTATTAACAACTTCTTCGCACTAGTTCTGATTCACGGAAAGATGATACCGAAAAGGAAAATATCGCTAGAAAACTGTTGCAATAGCATCACCGACTCCGATCTCTACATTCCCAAGTCCTTATAGATGTACTTTCAAAAGATACAAGGGAGGCCATGTTGTGGAATCGATCACTGGAGCAATATAAGTCAATCTCTTCTTTTAGGTACTCTGGTGACTTAGTGGGAGGGATAGTTGTGGCTTCTAGGTTAATTATAAGTATTGGCCTGTATCGTCCGATATGTATTGTATTGGAATTTCTCGATATACTTCTATAGAGGTATATCTTTTGACTGTTTCAGGGGGTGGATGGACCGGACCTTAAATCGGCCCCTCTGAACCGGATTTGATAAAAAAAAAATTACCAATACTGCCCAATACGCCTCTAACATCATATCAAATGTATCGATATTTTGAACCTTGCTCTCATCCCTCCTACTTGACCAACCTATGCAACTTCTCCAAATCACCATATGTGTACACATTGTTCCTAAGGCTCTCATCACCTTCGCCAATGCTGTTTGTCGCCAAATCACCGCTGGTGTTACTTGTCTTGTGGTTTCTGCTATTTCTTTTGTTGACGACCTCGATTTTTTTCCATTTTTTTTCTAGTATTTTGTGATCATCGAAGCTGTTCAGAGCACCGACATGTCCCTTGGCATTAAGAAAGGGTTCAGCAATGAAAACCCCTTCTTCCTTCATTAAACCTAGCTCTGTTTGTTGCAGAATAAAGAACCCAAACTTTTAAAGTTTAACAGACACAAGGGCAAAATGGTTTAAAAATATTTTAAAGGGCAGCTTTGTCATTTTGTAGATATTTAAGTAGCAGATGAGGTCATGTGATACACTAATTGATGGCTGATTCGCAGTAGGGCCCCGTTCGCTTTTCGGTAAGTTACCCATGTAAATGCACTTACATGGGTAAGTTGTCTATGAGGACAATCCAATTAAAAATCAAGAAACAAGAATGCAAGAGACAAACTAAGTGTGGTGATGAAAGGTTGAACTATGTATTGCCTATTGTGTAGCAAGTTTGTTGGGATGATATAGTGATCGGAGTTGGTGAATATCATCAAAAATTCATTAGCAAATCTCATCATCAATTTTGAGTTTAGAATGCTTCTAAGTTGAAACAAACAATGAATTCTGATTGTGTAGCCATTTTTGTGAGGGAAGTCAATCACAATGATGAGAGACCTATCAAGGAAGATACATCCAAGGAAAAGAATGACCCAAACCAAGAATTGATGACAATGGAATAAACAAGAATTGTAAGTATAAGAAGGATCAAGAAACAATGCCCAATATATAATCAACTAAAAGAAGTTCAGAGATCATTAAGAACAAACAAAGGCTATCACCCCCACCCCCATTTATTCCTCTTAATAATCTTCTATCCCTGAATATAGGCTTCCTTATAGAGAAATTTTCTCCTTGTATAGCTTTCAGGGTTAGGTTACATGCAGTGTTTAGAAAATCAGACTGGTTGAACTGTAATCGAGACCTTGGCTGGTCGGTTATATCCCAATAACCGCTTTTGTTAAAAAACCGGTGAAAACTAACTGATTGGCTGGTTTAACCGAAAAACTAGTTACCCGGTCCCAATTTCATCAAACCACTCGAGTCCTTAACTAATAGAAATTTTAAAATGTACTTAGCAAAATTTAAACCCATACCTCTTATTCCCATATATTAATTAATTACCATTTATCCACCTCTTAATTTGTGTTAATTAATGACTATTTATTTGTACATAATACTTTATTAAACATGTATTTTAAAGAAAATGTAAATTAAAAGACTTGAACTCTAATCATTTGCTTTAAAAATTAGGGAGTTTCCCATCAATATACCATATTCAAGTATATTAAAGGTTGTAAAGTATATTATATATAATATATATGACCTCTAGTATATATATGTATATGTCACGTCATCACGGTTCAACCCCAGTTGAACCTCTGACCCATGAACCTCTCCCCTCTTTGGTTCTATGCCCGGTCCGGTCTCTCTAAACATTGGTTAAATGGTTACATGCCCCCTTTTAAGGCCTTTTTCATGATCATAAAGTTTTTTTTTTCCTTTTTTGAACTTGAACTAATGACTCTTTAGTAAAAACACAAAATTTGAACCAACTTTACTTAACTTTTTATATGTGTGTGCACATGCGCATATATATTTAAAATTTAAATGTGCATGTGCTTTGCATATGGCAGCTTTTTATGATGATGATGATGATAGGAAATAATATGTTTCCAAAATTTTCTACAATTATTTTATATTTCATGTCTACAAAAATTATTCTTATTTGCTACACTAATTTTTGTTTAATATGAAGAAAACACAATATATTCAAAATGTGCCCAAATTGTTTTACCATTTTTTGTATTTTTAATACTTTTGTGTGTTTTCATTTGTTTTAATTTTTATTATTTAATTATGACATCAAGAGTTGACACATTTGACCTGAAAGGTTGAATTGTTAACTCACTACCAAACAAGAAAACAACTCCATTTTTTGGTTGGTTTTAAATTTGTATTTTAATTCTATCATCAATAAAACAATTATTCTTTGTCACACATATTTTTCTTTAATATGGTTAATTAATATAAAATGTTAGAGATATGACCAACTGTTCTCTAAACAATTTACATATTTTTTGTGTTTTTATGTCTTTTTAATTTTTATTATTAAATTATGACATCACAAGTTCATACATTTGACATAAAAGATTGAATTTTTGATCTACCACCAAATAGGAAAACTATTCCACTTTTAAGTTAGTTTTAAATTTTGTATTTTATTTCCATCATCAATAAAAGGTTAAAAAAATTTCTTGTTATCATTTTTATTTTTTCATATGATTAAGATAAAATATTATAGATGTGTCCAAATGTTTTTTAAAGAGTTTCTATATTTTTCATATTTTTGTGTTTTTGTATTTAAAATTTTTATGAGATAAAGGATTAACACATATAACCCAAAAGGTTGAATTGTTAACATGTCAACCTGAAAAACAATATCATTTTTGGGTAGGTTTTAAATTTTAATATTTTATTTTCAATATAAATAAAAGAAACTATTATTTATCACACTTATTTTTATTTGATATGATTAATATAAAATATTATATTAGATAAGTGTATAAATGTCTTTTACACATTTCTAGATTATTGTATAATGCTTTATTTTTTTTTATCTTTTTTATTTTTATTTAATTATGATATCAACCAAGGTTTTAAAAACCAACTTGGAAGTGGAACCGCTTTGACCACCGATTTTCATGTTAATAATTCAATGGTCCGAGTTGAATGGTTCGACCTACAACATTAATTTTTGAGAAATAAACCCTGCAATGCCCATATGAGATTCATATTCTAATTTATAATTTTCATTCCAGCCTTCCATTAAAATTGACGTTTAAAAGTTAAAACATAAAAGCCTATGACACATTAATATCTATTAGACCGTTAGGAGATAGGGGGTAGAATGATGTAAGAGGGGACTAAGGGGAGAGGTCGGATGTGAGATCTGAGAGGTGACAGAGAAAGTGTGTCACAATATAGAATAATAGAATAGGGGTAGGGAGGAAGAAAGAGGGAGAGGTGGCAGAGAGAGTGCGTCAAACTGTCAGAATAGAATAGGGGGTAGGGGGAGAGAGAGAGATTGATAATGGCCCAAGTTGATTTTTTTTTTTTTTTGGCAAAATCAACGTTTTTCATAAAAGGTAGTCCAACCCAAAACTGGATCTGAAATTATGATAGGTTCTTAGGTTAAATGGTCCGACCATCCGGTCCAGTATGGTTTTTAAAACAGTAATCAAGGATTAAAATATTGGTATCGAGTATTATATTGAACAAGTCGAATACGGATACGTTTTGGAAATGCATAGATATGAATGGAAGATATATAACCACTTGGATACACTAGGGAAATGTAGACAGATCAAATAAATACATTAATAATACTAAACCAAAAGCTGAATTATCTATGAATAAGGTATAAACGCATGAGAAATGCATAGTTTAATCAAATATATTAAGAGAAACATTGCAATAAACAATACCGGGACTCTAAAACATTCAAACATCATACAATAATTATCACTCTTTCAATTTTTATAACTATGATGTTTAATTTTTATTAATTTTTGGGAATATTTATTAATTTAATATTTTTATATAAACAATGAATATTTTTAAATAATAAACATGTTTTCATTTTTAACATATAATGCTTTTATTTTACATATAATTGTAAAATAAAACATATAAATCATTTAAGGTAAATAAAATAAATAATTTATATTTTTCAGTTTTTATTAAATTTTTGGGGGAAATTAAATCTTAAATTATTCACTTCAGTTTTTATAATTATACTTTTCTGTTTTCCATTAATTTTGTTGGGGAAATTTACTTATTTAGTATTTTTATATAGTAACTCTATTTTTTTTCAGATAATTACTATCTTTTCATTTTTAACATATAATTATGTGTAAAATAAAATATATAAATCATCTAAGGTAGATGAAATATATTATTTTTCTAATTTTTAGTTTTTATTAATTTTTTTGAAAAGTTAAATATTAAATTATTTATTTCAGTTTTTATAATTATATATTTTTTAATTTTTATTAAAGATGAAAAACAATCCAAATGTAGTCAATATATAGTTTTGTCAAACTAGGTGCAGATATGCCTCTGTATCAGTGCATATCATACCGTATCCAGTTGTGACGTATCCCATATTCATGATCATGGATACAGATACAATATGCCCCATATCAGGAGTATCATATTGATACCTTAATCCTTGACAATGATATCAATGATTGATACATTTGACTCAAAAGGTTGAATTATTAACCCACCAAGCCGCCACCATATATTAGTTTTAAATTTATATTTTATTCTACCATCAATAAGAATAAGTATTACTTATCACACTTATTTTTCTTTAACATGATTAATATAAAAGACTAGAGATGTGCCCAATTTTTTATTTTTGGGTCAATACCAAATGTTTAGGGAGGGGGGGGGGGCTGTGTGGTAATTAATGCTTTGCCAGTTTGCCCTCCGACCCACAAACAAAATTTTTAATAATGAGTAAAATTACCAAGTTACCCATGAATGGCAACATGGACTAGTTAGGGGCGGGGACCATGAATGCTAAAACAGTGAACCAGCTTTGGTGGTGCCGCATAAATGTTAAAACAGCAATTAAGAACATTAAAGGGTGATGAGACGGAAAAACTTTAGTTGTTGGGGGTAAGGTTCAAAATATCAATACGCCGGTAGGGATATATCGGGCATTTCGATACTCATTGTTTTACCTTTTTTTATTTTTTTTTTTTCAAAACTGGTTCAGGGGAGCCGGTCTAGGACCCTTCCATCCCCTGAACCGGTCAGACCCCCGATACACCCTGTAGGGGTATATCGGAAGGGTCCTAGAACGATACTTATCAGCCAATACGGATTGATACGTAATGATACTTTAAACCTTGGTTGGGGCCAACATCCTATTCTGTTAAGAAAATTTCTGGAAATATATGAGAATGGATAAATTAGTAATTACATGTTAATTTATTTTAAATAAAAACTAAAGCATGGGCGTAACTAGATGCAGTGCCCAGAATACCTACCTTACTAAAAGCGATCTGCGTCAGAGATTCAACACTCCATGTGAGAGGATTTCATCACTCTACAATTTGGGAACTGATCAACTTCTGGGCTGTAATTAATGTTGGCATCTCTCCATTTCCTCAACATCTGTTCTACGTGTCGTTTGCACATCCAATCATTCCAACTATTAAGATTCACGAACCCAAATGAATATTTTATCAACCCAATTCCCAACCTTCATTCTCACTTGTCTAGTTGTCTCCCAATAATACACACTTTGAATTTTGATCGCGAAGGTTATTATGCTTGCTACTGTTCAATTTTGTATTTCTGCTTTTTATAATAAGTTTTTCATTTTGTAATTATGATCATTAATATTATGTTTGGTTTGAAGGAAAGTGAAGGGAAAGGAAACTTTTACAATCCTTGTATTGATTTTTGTACATTTTCTTTTCTTTTCCTACTTTTTTCCTTCAAACCAAACATAGCATAAGTGATTTGTTAGAGGGTGAAGGAAATAAGAAATGATTTAATGATGGATATGGCGTGAAACAAGATTCATATAAAGTATCCCATTCGGATGTCTCAAAACTTTCTATAAATAGAATATTAGTCAACCTGATAACATAGATTGCTATAAGAGTATTCGATTATTTTATGTTCATCAATTATGAGCATCTTTAAGCAAATTAATGCACATCTATCAAAAGTGACTGTTTCATCTTGGAAGCTTATTTGTAAATCTCGGTTGTACTATAAAGGGTAAACACAGTTTTAAAGCTCGGTTTGGAAAGAGTATAAATACAAATTTGTAGAGTACAAAACCTTACGTTTTATATTATTTTGTATGTATTGTATGTACATATTTGTATTTGTACTCCTTCCAAACTGAGCTTAGGAAAGTGACCAAGGGGGTGTTCTACAATGTAAATTGTTTTTCTTATTGCCGGTTCTAAAAACAAATCAAAATCATGTGGTTTGAAAATAGATTGTTTCTCAAAACAAAAACACAAAAAAAAAACATGTTCTCGGTTGTGGTTTTTGTTTTTAAAACTAAAACCAAAAACATGTTCTTGAATCTAGTTTCAAAAACATATTTCTGTCTAATTATTCAACTTCATGTTCGATGAATCATATGATTTCTATACTAACAAATTTGTTTTTGTTTTAAAAACCAATATTTTGTTGGTTCCAAAAACATGTATTGTTTTTTTGAAACAAAACCAACTTCTTTTTCCTTTTGAAAACAAAAAATAGAGTTCAAGAACCTGTTTTTGTTTTTGTTTTTGTTTTTGCTGATGTGGCAATTCCAAAAACAAATGAAAACAAAAACATTCATGTTGTGGAACGCCCCCCAAATGGCACAACTCATCTTGTTCATATTCTATACAACATTCGTCTTGCTATTTTGTAGTTTACACTTTACAATCAATTTTGAAGGTAATTTCACACCACTATCATACTTCAATTTATCATTTGTAGGATTTCACATCTGCACCCCACAAGGGGGCATCCCACAACGTCCCACATCACATCCCTATTGTATATTGGGAACATCTCCCGATGATAGTACCAGAACCGATGATGTCATCATTGGGAGATGTTCTCAATACACAACAAGGATGTGCTGTGGGACGTTGTGAGGCATAGATCTAAACTCCATTTTCAGAGATCGGTGTCCATCAGGACAAACCTATGCCCACAGTGTTCAAACAGCCTTTTGCAATCTTGCATTGGGAATATCTCCCCATATAATAAAACATATAAGTAAGGAGATATTCTCAATGCAAGGCAATAAATACTGCTCGAATGGGCTTTGCCCTGCCGAACTCCCATTTGCAATGGCGGAGCCAAGTATATTGATGGGGGTGGGGGTGGGGGGGACCAAACCATATCTATATGGTTACTTAGTAAAGGCTGGGTTAAAAACATAATAAATTGGGTCTTCCCCTACCTACTTAACGCTACCAACGTGTCCCAACAGTCCACTACAGCGTGCAGCCTCACACTGGAATATCTCCTTTTTATCATTTCATGGGGAGATATTTCTAATTTCTGATCGTTGTTGGCACTGTGTGACTGTGTGTTGGTAACTGATGCGAACTAAATTTAATGATGGATATGGCGCGAAACAGGATTCATATAGGCGATTGCGACCTCAGGCCCATAAAGTTAGGACTTAGGTGGATGATGGATGATGATGAGTTGTAAATTGTGAACTTATGATTGTGAGTTTGTGACCACTCCCACTCCCGGTGGCAGTGACACCACCATCTTTCATTTGGCGATTGTGTCTTCGCCACAATTTAATGCACATGCGTCTCGTAAATGCATCCGTCTCTGCAAGACTGCAACTGCAACCTACCCATTTATCTGCCGGAAGCCGGAGAACTCATAACATAACGACACCCCTGATGCTTCATGACCGAAGCTGCTTTTGTCTTCTGCTACTTCTCTCTCTCTCTCTCTCTCTCTCTCTCTCTCTCTGCAACTTTACATTGACATTTAGTAATTTACTATGGAAGAAGTAGAGATCCCCTCGATTGTGGTCCTCAACGGCAACCCACAGCAAAAAACTGACACCGAATTCAGTTCGAGCACCAACCCCAAAGTTTCACTCTTCGGCCTGTTCGCTTTCGCTGATACGTTTGATTATTTCTTGATGTTCTTGGCCACCATTGGGTCCATTATTCATGGCGCAGCACTCCCTCTGTTCTTCGTTTTCTTTGGTCGCCTCATAAACTCTTTGGATTCTATTGCTAAGGATCCCCACAGATTAACTTCTGAGATCTCACAGGTACACTACCCCGCACTTCTTTCTCAACTCAACCTTAACCCCCCAACCATTCTACACTTTCTTTAGTTACCATATGTGTCGTAGGAGAACTCACCCCTAAAAGCTAGCTGTTAGAGGGAGGGAATCAGACACATATGCACCCCACAACAGCATCCCATACTACCGATGTGGGAGCATTAGTCCACTTAGTCCCGGCGAACACTGCAATACCGAAGTCACCACCTATGCCGCTGCAACTAGGAGGCATAGTATAGGCTCTGATATCATCTGTTATGTGTCTTAGGAGAACTCATTACTCACCCCTAAAAACTAGCTGTTAGAGGGAGGGAATCCAGACACGTATACACCCCACAACAGCATCCCATACTACCGATGTGGGACTAATGGATCGTAACACATTGTAATCAACTCGAGTGAATTTTCAATTATTATCATCATCAACATGATCTAATTCTATAAGACCATATTTGTTAGGGATAGCATTATCTATCGTTGTCATGGGGTGCAACATAATTGCTTATCAGGATCAGCAATCCAGCAATGGAAACCAAATGTTAGGCCTGCTTCTGAGTCTACTATTTCATGGATGTCACGCCTTACCATGATACCATCCATGTTGGGGCAGCACTTCTACCAGTGTTGTCCATTTCTTTAACAGTCTGAGAATGGTATATCATTTGGGGTTTGTTGATCAATTGTCATTGTTTTCCTTATCCAGAACCTCCACATTACAAAAACAGATTACTCTGTGTCTGTCATTCATTCCTTCATTATAAGTTTTATTAGTTCTTCTGGAAAAAAAAAAGCATGTGCTGTGGTTTATTCAGTGCTTATTTCTGTTTCTCTGTGTTGGGTTTCAATATTTTCTGCGTCGTGGACAAACAATTTCATAATGGAATATTTCTTTCTATTGCAGGAAGCTTTGCACTTTGTTTACTTGGGAGTCCTTGTCTTCGCTTCGGCATGGATGGGTACGTCCTAATATTTACTTTTCTAGCTTTATATACCTCTATGCTTTCATCACTTTATCTCCTGTTATCGTTCAGTTTATATACTAAGTCAGGTAATGGGATACTTGTTATAGAATAAAAACCTATTCAAGGACCTCACCTAACAGCTTAAGCTTTTAGGTTGAATGGTTCTTTGAGATGGTATCAAAGCCACTTTGACCAAGTGGTCTAGTGTTCCACTCTTGTGGCCTCCATTATAATTAATTAAGTTTCAACCCAAGGTATGGGTGGGTCTGTGCTTGTATACGCTTCAAGCCCCATGGGCTTTCGTGTGAAAGGGCATGTTAGAGAATAAAAACCTATTCAAGGACCTCACCTAACAGCTTAAGCTTTTAGGTTGAATGGTTCTTTGAGAATACTTACAGAAGTTTATATCTTGCCCTTGGGGCCATGAAGGAATTTCCTCTTACCTCTGGTTGTATTAAAACCTTTCCTATATGGATCTCAGGTATTGCATTCTGGATGCAAACAGGAGAGAGACAGGCGGCTTGTTTGAGATTGAAATATCTTCAATCTGTCTTGAAACGAGATATTGACTTCTTTGATAGAGAAGCCAGGGATGAAAACATCATATTTTGTATCTCAAGTGATGCTATACTCGTGCAGGATGCCATAGGTGATAAGGTACATAGCTGAATGTGTATACATATATATATATATATATATATATATAGGGAAACTGGTGGATGACCAAATGATCTGGAGTCTGAATAAGACCACTGATATTGTGTTTCCTTTCTCCTTTTAATCTAAATGCAGACAGGTCATGCTTTGCGATATCTTGCTCAGTTCTGTGTTGGCATTGTTATAGGATTTACAACAGTATGGCAGCTTTCACTTGTCATCTTGGCTGTTGTTCCATTGATAGTTATTGCTGGTGGAGGGTATGCAATAATCATGTCAACCTTGTCAAGAAAAGGTGAGGCTGCTTATGCTGAAGCTGGGAAGGATGCAGAAGAGGTAAAATTGCATGGTGACACTAATGTGGTCCTGTATAGATATTGCCTTCAAAGTTTAAAATTGCATGGTGACACTACAAATCCCGTTGGAGGTGAACAGAACTCTTCAGTAGGAAATTATCTGCTTCCCTTTTAGTCTATGTTGGAGGGTTATGACAAGAATACAAATCCTGCTGTATATGGTTGAAAAGATTATTTTAGCATATGTGAAAGCCAGATAGCATCAATTAAGTTCCAATTAGTGGACCATGAAGTTAACTAAACTTTTTAGTCTTCAAATCTTGTTTCATATGCATTGAATTGATAGAATTTTCTCTTTCCATGCATCAGATTATTTCACAGGTTCGTACAGTGTATTCTTTCGTGGGGGAGGACAAAGCAATTGAAAAATATTCCAGGTCACTCACAAAAGCTCTCAATTTGGGGAAGAAGAGTGGAATTGTAAAAGGAGTGGGTATTGGATCCATATATGGCCTGTTGTTTTGTTCTTGGGCATTACTTCTCTGGTATGCCAGCATTCTTGTCAGGCATAGGGATACAGATGGTGGCAAAGCATTTTCAACAATTCTCAATGTTATATTTAGTGGACTGTAAGCACACTCCAGATTTACAACAACTTGTTTTGAAGTTTATCATTCTTCATGAAGTTATCTTATTAAAGAGAGTGTTTGTAGTGCTCTAGGCCAAGCTGCTCCAAGCCTTGGTGCCATTGGTAAAGGACGGGCTGCTACAAGTAATATCATTAGTATGATTCAAACAGATTCCAGTTCTTCTCAACAGATGGATAATGGAATAATTTTACCTGATGTGTCTGGGAAAATTGAATTCTCTGAAGTCTCTTTCTCCTACCCTTCCCGACCAAATAAGGTCTTTGAAGATCTTAGCTTCACCATCCATGCTGGGCAGAATTTTGCACTTGTTGGCCAAAGTGGATCAGGGAAGAGCACTATCATTTCCATGATGGAAAGATTCTATGACCCCACATCAGGTATCTAGATGCCAAGAATAAGATGAATGTTGTTGTTGGAAATATTTGCCCTATGAGTTAAAATCATGAATCTCTCTATGTAAGTATAATGGCTGGGAGGATGAGGTTCTTGGGTATACTATGTTTCTATGTAAAACCACAATTTTTTTTTCTTTTATTTTCAGTGAGAAACCTATAATAGACCTATCAGCCTAAGATAAAGAGAAAGGTTTATCTATTTTGTTTAGTTATTCAGCAGATGGCAGCAACTATGCTTATTTAATGACACTTTGGAATCAACCAGCTCTAGTCCTACCAAACAGAGCTCTAGTCCTCCTACCAAAGAAAGCATCGTTACTCTAGAAGAAAGTTTCCTTTTTACTCTGATTGGTCTCTCTATAGTAACTGCTCCATCTTTGGTAGGAACCCTTTCTATAGCAGCTGGTCCATCTTTGGTAGTAACTCTTTCTAGAGTAACAATGCTTTCTTTGGTGGGAGGACTAGAGCTGATCGATTCCTCAATACAATTGCCGATCTAATCCTGAGTCCAATCTTTATTTTGTGCAGAGAACCTTCATGTAATGAACTTATTTGGATCATCTTTGCCCACAGATGTAGTCATATTCTTTTATTTCCAAAGCACATAACCCTTGTCTGTTACATACCTGTTCTTCATATTCTTTTATTTCCTGTTTGTTTCATGTGGCTGTCAACCTTATGTTTGCATGTTTGCCATACATATATACATACATGTATGTCCATGTTGGAAATACAAAAGCACACAAGACACAACAGACAGAAACATACATGCTGCACAAGCACATATGCACAGACACATACAACGCTATCTTGTAGCTAGACTACCCTGGATTGACAGTGGTATGCCATAAAAATTGGCCAAGGCTTGATGTTTCTAAGCCAAGCAGATTCACCTGATTTCCTGAATCTGTAGGCTTGTGAAACAATGTGACTCAGCCAAGTTGTGAGTTGGCTACTGGACTTTCCAACTATAAATCATGTTGATCTTGTATTCTTGCTTGTGATTTACATATTGATATTCACTAGGTAAAATACTGTTGGATGGACATGATTTGAAGAGTCTTCAATTAAAGTGGCTACGCAAACAGATGGGTCTGGTTAATCAAGAACCAGCACTGTTTGCAATGTCAATAGCTGGGAACATTATGTATGGCAAAGTAGATGCAGAAATGGAGCAGATTATAGAAGCATCCAAAGCTGCAAATGCACATTCCTTCATACAAGGTCTGCCTGACGGTTATCATACACAGGTTGGTACATATATCTTGCATTTCTTAGTAAATGGTATACCTTGCACCTCCCTTTCATTGTATGAATCAGAAGTCTCAGGTTGCTCTCCAACTCAAAACCAGTGTATCCTATGGCTATGCAAAATCTTGTACTACCAACCAAACACTCTTTCAACCTCCCTATTTGAACAGTTACCACTGTGTGAGCGTTGGAAAATGGTTCACTTGGGTTGATTTAGAGTCGCCACCCATCATTGGGAATGTATTGGGAGTGATGGGCCTCCTGGGTAAGACTTGGATGGGGTACCGATACATTAGGAAGATAATGACCATTGTCAAAGGAGAAAGGATTAAAGTCATGCAGAAATGCAATGTAATAAGAAACAACATTAAGCTACCTCGATTAACTAAGTGATGCATGAGCCAAAATGTTGTACGCATAGGAAACTAAACTGAAAATGATGTATCAAAATAAGGAAGCATGTTGAAATGAGGATCCTATGATACCGAGTAAGAAATTTCTTACTTACCCTAAGAGAAAAGAGCTATAAAATTAATTATGATAAAAAGATAATTATTCATATCATTTGAAGTGAACACAAAATGAAGCTTGGCATCAAGAAGGGAACATTTTATTAGAAAAGAGTGGACACTGTTTAGAGAAAAAGGACAGGGATCATTTGATAAAGTGTGATACTGTGATCAAAATTGACTAGCATCCTAAACATAATATATATATATATATATAAATAATAATAATAATAATAATAATTTATGAGACCATCATTACCTAATATATTAAGCAAGCATCATGTAAATAAGTCATAAGAAAGATTATCCATATTAGCCATGATAATTATTTAGAGGTAAACAAAATAGAAAAATAGAAAAATAAACAAAAGTGCAAATTTCTGCTATTACGAGGAAGGCCTTAAAACAGAAAGGCCTTAAAACAAAAGTGAAAAATAGAAAAATAGAAAAATAAATAAGTCATAAGAAAGATTATCCATATTCAGCCATTACGAGGAAGGCCTTAAAACAGAATTATTTAGAGGTAAACAAAATAGAAAAATAAAACAAAACAAAAGTGCAAATTTCTGCTACGTTTCTAACCATTTAACAAGATAAGCTAAGCAAAATAAACTAATCTAATCCTATTTGATGCTCCAAGGAATGATTGCAAAGACAAAATAAAAAGAAAATGAAACCACTTATTTTAATAGAAGATGTTCAACAAAAAACTGAGAATTATGGATTTGCAAATAGCAACAGCAATTCAAAATAATAAGAATTAATGAGAGCTAGAACCAAAAAAAGGAAAGGAAAAACCTGAAGACAAAAACACGTGGATTCACTATTTGAAAGGAAATAACCAAGAAAATAAGAAAAGTATAAGAAAGGTTTAATGGCTGATACGAAATTAAAAACTCAGTGAGCAAAAAACAAAAAAAAAAAGAATGATTTTCAAGACAAAATACAAGAATAACGACAAGTTCAAACAATTGATATTGTCTTCAATAGATCAACGACGCTTGATTGACTGATTATAATGGCAGCTTCCGAAGAGTTTGGTGATCCGATGCATGGATTTGATGACTGGTGTGCCGAACAGATTTAATGGCGGCAATCGAAGCAGTGGCTGCTCTGTTCAGAGTTAGATACAGTGGCAGAGTGGGAGTGGACAAGTATCACTCAATAATGCAATGCCATTCTGAACAGGGCAGGTCCGATCGAACTAGGATAAATAGCCTTGAAGAAGGAATGGTAGCTGCAATGGGACTACGACCATTAACTTGGTGTTTTCTACCAGACTGCAACCGCAACGGGCACATGCTTAGCAACCAGCTTCGAGCATAGTGGGATGCTGCTGTAACCCTTCAACTGTGTCGACTCATAGTTGCATACCCTTCTTTCTACTAAGAGGAGAAAACACCAGCGTATTCCACGAAAAACAACGAGCCAATAATAAGGACGAACATGACAAGGTCGTCATAGAGAAGGAATGGACGACCGGAGAGAAGAAAGGAAGTGAGAGGAGGGTAAATGGAGGTTGGGAGCTGGAAAGGTTGAGGAAGACAAGGAAACAGAGGTGAGGTGGGGAGATAACGAATGGTAGGGAACCAACCAATAAAATATACGAGAACAGAGCTCTAATGCTGCCGGTTCTCAAGGACGGTGAACAGAGGAGGTTGCTAGGTAGGCTGAGAGCATGACGAGAGAGGGAGAGAAGAAGATAGAGAGAGATCAGAAAAGAGGGGAGGATAAACTGGAGGGAGTAAAGGTTGCCGCCGCCTTGCTCGGTGTCACGATGGGGAAGACAATGAACAGTAAAACTGGGTACCGCCGCTGTGTCGAGAGGTGAAAGGAGGTGAACAGTAGATTTCTGGTCCTTGTGTTGGTGGAGAGATAGAGACAATGAGAGAAAGGGAGAGAGAAATGAGAGAATTAGAAGAGGTCGGGGAAGAAGGAGTCGCCGCTCAGGTGTTCTGTCGGGGAAGATGAACAGTTTCCGGATCCCCCGCAAAAATGTTTGGGTTGGCCTTAGGGCGTAATGGCAATTTCGTAATTTTGGAAAATTTAGGGGTATCTTTGTAAAATCGATTAGAAAAGATGTAAATATAGATATTTTTTTATGAAATTTTACAGGTTAGGGTTTTGGGCAATCCGGATCGATTGGTGGGGTAAAATTGGCCTAATTGTGCTTGGATAAGGGAACTTGAGGTACGAGCATGATTGACGAAAAAATCCAAAATGGAATCTTGATTTGATGGAGGGGTAAACTGAGAAATTTTAAGTTGAAATTTAACAGAATATGGTTTCTGAGGGGATTGGATGAATTTGCGGGGTTTGATCGGCTTAGGTGTTCTTACATTGGGGAAATAAGAGGTACGGGTGATTTGACCGATTAAAACGTCCAAAATGGAATCTTTATTTGATAGATGAATTTTGAGATGAAATTTGACATGATGGTGTTTCTAATGGGCTTGGACAAATTGGCGGGGCTTGATCGGTTCAAATGTGTTCGGATCGTGGGAATTTGTGATACGAGCAATCTGACACACGAGAAAGCCCGAAATGGAATCTTCATCTAATGGATGGGCAGATCAAGGAATTTTGAGATGAAGTTTTTCAAGATCAGATTTCTGAATGTCTTGGATGAATTGATAAGATTTGATCGGTTCAAATGTGTTCAAATCGAGGGAATTTGAGGTACAGGGTGGTCCGATCAATGAAAAAGCTCGAACTAGAATCTTTTCCGTAGGAAGGGCAGAATGGGAGTTTTAGGTCTAAAATTCGGTGGATGGGTGATGATTGGGAGGTTGAGGAATTAATGTTTTGGTAAGGTTTAGGGGCCTTGGAAGAAGTGTCATGATACTTATCTGTAATTTTGGAAGTAGCGATTGATGAGAAGGCTTAAATCGAAATCTTTTTCATGGAAGGGGAAAAAAAGGGATTTTTTTGTCTGAAATTCAATGGATGGGTGATTGGGGGGTTAATGGAGGTTTTGACGGGTTTGGAGGTGTTGGATTATATGTTATGACAGAGATCTTAAATTTGGAGAGTTGAAAGGCAACAAGAATGGTTTATTTAGAATCTTTTTAAATGAAAGGCAAAATGGTCATTTTGAGATTTGAAATTTGACGAATGGTTGAACGGGTGGTTGATGGAGGTTTTGATCATGTCTAGGGTATTTGGATTGTGGGTTTTAGTCATAATGTCTTATTCGTCAAGATGGAATCTTTGATGGGTGGATGGCGAAATCAAGGAATTTATGGCTGAAATTTGGTGTGATTGGATGTTTATAGGTTTTGTTTTATATTATGGGGGTCTGATCGTGTGATAAGTGTGGTGATGGGGCGCAATCGTGACCGTCATAAGGGAATGTTGTAGTTTTAACAATGGATTTGAGGGTGTTTGAGTCGAAATTTGGTCTTTTAAGGGTTTGATATGTTCTTCAGACAATGGTGGACTATGATCGGGCATCTAGTGCCAGGAGTGGATGAGAGAGGTGACCAAACAAAAATTGGGTGCTGACACACTGTAATGCACAAACCCAAAAATGAACTCTAGATTTGAATTTTTTGTGTCTAAATCCTTGGTACAAGTGAAGTTTTATCATAATAAATATCTTAATAAAATATTTCAACTGCTGGACATGCAAGACCAAGTAACTTATCATGTTGCTAAGATCAAATATACAATCATTTCTTAATCAGATATGATCATTGGTACTAATTTCCAATCATCTCTTTAATAGATATGCACTCATAAATAATTGCAGTTATCGAACTGTTTAGCATAATTCTTCAGTCCATGTGTAGATGCTAATATTTGAGTATTTCTTAAGGTAGGAGAAGGTGGAGCTCAGCTTTCTGGTGGGCAGAAACAACGAATTTCCATTGCAAGAGCAGTGCTGAGAAACCCAAAGATTCTACTTCTAGATGAGGCCACAAGTGCTCTTGACACAGAATCTGAGCTCATTGTTCAACAGGCACTCAACAAAATCATGTCAGAACGGACAACAATTATTGTTGCCCACAGATTATCTACTATCCGTGATGTTAATAAAATCATTGTATTGAAGAACGGAAAGATTGTTGAAAGTGGGACTCACATAGAACTGATGTCCAAGGGGGCAGATGGAGAGTATGCAAATCTGGTGAACTTGCAGAAGTTGGGAAACATAGAAAACCCAAGCAAAGGGAGTTGGATTGAATCTTCTGGAACTTCAACCATTTCAGAAATCCCCAGAATGCAAATCCATCATCAGAGGACCATGTCAATTGACAGAAAAGGGTTGCATATGGTTAAACAAGAGCTGGCTCCAACACCTTCAATTTGGAAATTGGTTAAACTGAATGCACCTGAGTGGCCATATGCATTACTTGGGTCAGTGGGTGCTGTTTTGGCTGGAATGGAAGCTCCTCTGTTTGCATTTGGGATCACACACATGTTAGCTGTGTATACTTCTGATGATGACTTACATATCAAACATGAAGTTCGACGGGTGTGCCTCATAATGATTGGAGTAGGTGCTATTACTGTACCTATATATCTGTTGCAGCACTACTTCTATACTTTGATGGGAGAACAGATAACATCTCGCATTCGCTTCTTGATGTTTTCAGGTGCTTCGCTTTTCTCACAAACTTCAAATATAACTCTGCAAATAAGAGTCCTAAATTACTCAAATATGTCTTTTAAGATTTTTTGTGATGCAATCTATTTGTATTGCTTATGGTTTTTAAACTAAACCACACAGCTATCCTGCGTAATGAGATTGGGTGGTTTGATTTGGATGAGAACAGTACCGGGTCTCTTACCACAAGTTTAGCAGTGGATGCTACATTAGTAAGAGCTGCCATTGCTGACCGACTGTCGACGATCCTGCAGAATGTAGCACTCACAGTGACAGCATTTGCTATTTCATTCACACTTAGTTGGCGCCTGGCAGCTGTCATGGTTGCCACTTACCCCTTCCTCATCAGCTCCTCCTTAGCTGAGGTAGGTCTCAAATATCCAAACCAACCTCCTCCTCCCACCAAGATGTGGGTAACTAAGCCAGTTCTGCTTTCTTTGTATCTGCAGCAATTATTTCTGAGGGGGTTTGGAGGAGATTATAACCGTGCCTACTCTCAAGACATTGTTGTGGTACGTGAAGCAATCACCAACATCCGCACTGTAGCAGCTTTTGGTGCCGAGGACCATGTAGTAAGGCAGTTCATCCATGAACTCAGCCAATCAAAAAAGCAGTCACTCTTGCGTGGGCATATATCAGGTGTCTGTTATGGTCTGACATTGTTCTTTGCCTTCTGTTCATATGCTCTTGCACTTTGGTATGCATCACTTCTCATCAAGCACAAACACTCAAGCTTCGGAGATGTTATCAAGTGCTTCATGGTATTGCTCGTCACTGCATTCTCAATAGCAGAGACATTTGCTCTTGCACCTCAGGTTGTAAAGGGATCACAGGCACTTGGTTCAGTTTTCAATATACTCCAAAGAGAAACAGCCATAGACGCAAACAGTTCAACATCTGAGGCAGTAACACAAGTGAACGGGCTCATAGAGTTCAGGAATGTCAGCTTCAAGTACCCCACAAGGCCTGACATTCTCGTCTTGGATGACTTTAATTTACAGGTACCGTCAGGATGCAGCCTTGCACTAGTTGGACAGAGTGGATCAGGAAAGAGCTCTGTGATTTCACTCATATTGAGATTCTATGACCCCATTTCAGGGGTTATTCTGATTGATGGGCGTGATATTAGAGGTTTAAACTTGAAGGGATTGAGGATGAAGATGGGTCTAGTTCAACAGGAGCCAGCATTGTTCTCTACCACAATCTATGAGAACATCAAGTATGGAAAAGAGAATGCATCAGAAATTGAGATTATGAATGCTGCAAAAGCAGCAAATGCTCATGGATTCATAAGTAGAATGCCTGATGGGTATCAAACACATGTGGGGGAGCGTGGAATACAGCTATCAGGAGGACAGAAACAGAGGGTAGCCATTGCACGAGCAATATTAAAAGACCCAGCCATTCTTCTTTTGGATGAGGCCACCAGTGCATTGGATACAGCCTCCGAGAGGGTTGTTCAAGAGGCTCTTGATAGGTTGATGGAAGGGCGGACTACAATTTTGGTAGCACATAGGCTATCGACCATCCACAATGCAGACAATATTGCTGTTCTGAAACATGGGAAGGTGGTTGAAACTGGTAGCCATGAGACTCTCATTCTTAGGCCTGATAGTGTCTATGCACAACTAATAAATATACAACTGCAAAATGGTGTAGCCTAACAATGGCCATCCTACTTGATCCAAGTATTTAAGGCTATCCAAATTCAATAAAGGGCAGTCTACTGCACTAGGCTCCTACCAATGCGGGGTCTGGAGAGGGACAGATGTACAGCGAGGCTGTTTCCAAGATTTAAACCCTGGTTATTCAGGACACAATGGAACAGTCAAATTCAATATGCTTTATAATTGAACAAAATATGGAACCATCCTACTTGATCCAAATTAGATATTATTATAAAATATGTGCTTATATTTACATAATGTCAACATTTATTTATTAACAAATCTGGTTTCAGTGTTATATCTTTACTAAATTGCCACATCAGCAAAAATGTATATGTAATGTTTATTTTTCGGATATGGCAGTTATGTTTTAGAAAACAAAACTACTCACATTGTGGAACACCCCCTAAGTTATTTTAGATGATTTTAGTCTTGCTCAATTTTTATGATGCCAGAGGGGTATGATACAGGAAGAACTCTGACCTGACCAATCAGAACCCCTCTACTAATTGATTGGTTACCACTTCTATCATACCATTGATTGGTTATCAGTTTTTCAGTAAACATGCATTTTTTTTATATCAGAATTATTTTTAATTTATTTTATCAGTACAATAAATTATTCTAATATATTCTTACTTTAATTCATGATTGAAAATGATATTTGAGTCCAGTGCAAGCATAACCTAAATATTAAGTAATCAAGTGTGAATATAGTCAGTCAATTTAGAGCTGTCAATGGGTGGATTTTCCCAATTGAACCAAACTATGTTAGTTCTGACTAGTTTGTGTCCTGATTAATAATTGGGTTGGGGCTGGTTACTGCTGTTCTGAACAAATTAAGACTAGAATCAAATATATAGTTAATAATATATAAAGGTTTCTTGATTTTTTTCTTGTAAATTTTGTTATATTTTATGTCTAAAATTATAAATTCCATTGACAATATATAATATAATTTTGGTTAAAATACTTGTTTTATAATGCAGTAACAGTTCACTATTTATTGTCATTTTTAATGATGCTATATTATCAAAAATGAAGTTCCAAGTTCTTATTATCATAGGTAATTACAGATCCCAAGTATAGCTGGGCCTGATATGCCAAGTATAATTGTCTCTAATAAGATCAGACCCAATTATCCAGATTAATAATTGGTTTAGTTCTTGGTTAATCATCTGGTTGGGACTGATCTACCCTACCCCAAACTAGACTTGACCCATTGACAGCTCTAAGTCAATTTGCTGCTTTTGGCTCTCAACCCTGCTGCTCCCATTAGCCCAATTGGTAACGAATTTGTGTGGATCTATTACCCCGTGAACCCTATCTGGCATGGGCTGAAAGGCATTGGTTCTCTCTCTCTCAAGCAAGCCCATACAAAAAGCTATTCTTCCTCAGTATATGAAAATAAGAAATTTAAGAATGAATGAGTTTAACTCTCAATAAGTAATATTCCATCTCCCTAGTTGCACCAAGCCTAGGATAAGAAAAAAATCATACAATTCACATATTCCCCAAAATTCATAAGATAGGCTTTAAGACAAATTAATATGTTTTAGAGAAAAATAATCACATACTCATAAATCAAAATTTTTAACAATTTACAATATCATAAGAACAAGCTGGATGGAACACATGTGGTGGTTGATATCAATATATTCAAATTCAAATTTAAAGTCACATAACAGTTTAATAAAGGTAGACTGTGATCACTTTCACCCTAGTGAAAGGGACCACATATATTCCTTGTAGTGAGGGCCTAAATTCAAAATAGACTAGTTTAAGATGCCATCGTATTCATCCCTAATGATGGGGTCTGAAACATAATCACATATCATTAAAATATGATAGATACATCAATCTAAACATAAGTCTTACAAGACAAATTTAACAACAATAATAATATAACTAAATAAAGAATAACTTTTTTTATAAAAAAAAAAATCATTGATTATTTTAAGCAATAACAAAGTGTTAAACAAGCTTTTGAAATATGTATCAACGTACCACAATAGTAAAAAAAAAAACACTTATATTCTGAATTCATAATATCCTAAATATCACTTGCTTGAATTCTAATTCAAGTAAACATGAAGACAATACACATATATAACCAAGAAATCATTTGTTAATTTAATTTAAGACCAAAAATGATGATGATAAAATAAATGGAAGATGAAACTTCACTTACCCAACATGTTGAATCCAAAGCACCAAAAAAAGTAAGTCGCAATATATCCAAAAGCCTATAAATCAATGGTTTAATGTTACCACCAATTTCAATATTGATGAAGGGTGATTTGGCACGACCTAGCAAGAAGGGGACATGTAGGCGCAATCTGATCGAAGGATAACAACTCAGCCAGGCAAGCCCAGTTTGCAACATTCACAGTTCGGGTATTCAACCACCTCAGCCCAAAATCCGCCTTGGTGTAGAGGCACCCCGACACCCAATCCAGTTTAGGACTAAAGAACTGAATTTCCAGCTCGGAGCTAATGATCTGAAGCGCCGCATAACTGACTCCAAAGGCCTCCCCAACAGATCCCAATTCTCTTGAGGTCACGATGAGCCAACAGATCCCAAATTTCCCAAGATCACGATAAGAACTCATCCCAGTTCCGCCTGAATCGGAGGTAGACGATAAACCTTATCAACATACTACTCTCCTTCAAAAATGGAACCAACCTTATCTCCATAGCCCGAAGAACCCGAAGCTCTTCCGTAAGGCCCACGACTACTCTAGTATATAAAGACTCGAAATCTCAAGGCAAAGGTACGCGTGATTATTCTACTCGCTAGCACTCAAGCTCTCAAGCATGGAGCTCACATTCACAACATAAGTATTGACTTAAGCATCGGAGCAACCTTGTCGGGTTAGCTACCCCGAGTTCTCTGATACACAGTTTTGCAGATTGATCCAGCTCGCCGACCATTTGGAGTTCGGATCGCCCTCCAGCTAGGAGTAACTAGATCACGTACCATCAAATATTAATATTGCTAAGTTCGTGATGCATACGTCTCTAGCTTATTGTATTGTTTTACCTAAATCTAAGGCAGTTTACTACCTTAGGTCTAAGATTCTTAGATTTCTAGTTTTCAGCTTGCACATATATAGGATCAAATTTTGGCACATCTAACTTATACTCCAACCACCTAAAACAAGAAATTAATATTTCAATATAAACTTCTCACAACATATTACAAATCAAAATTGAGTCTCATTTAGAAATGTAACAAAATGATCAATCTACAATAGCCTAAAGTTGGTTATCAACTAAGACTCATAACTTTTGGATCAATTATTCTTTTTGCAAGTGCCACCTATCATCGTGAAGACCTCATGCCATACTACAATTTAGACATCACTTCTGAGCAAACAGATCATTAGGCAATCTCTTTTTGAGGACCTAAACTCAGTTGGTCGCTAAAATTCTCCAAAATTCTCAAATTTAACATAATTAGGATACCAACTTCCAAAAATCATAACTTTCAATAAAAAGTCCAAAAAAGGAGTTCTACATACCATTTTGAATATATCATTGAGAACTATAATTTAGAACCAAAATTTAGTTATAAAAGTTATGGAAGGTTGGTTTTTGGCAACCTAAATTTGGCTGATGTCTATTATGTATCAATCCAAAATTTGATATAATTTTCATTTTACAAATCCAAAAGACATGATGTTGGATTCATTAAAATTCTAATGACATTCTGTTTCTATCAAAATGATTTTCCCTACTAGAAAGTAGATGAAAAATGAATGTCCAACAAAAAAAAAACCCTAATTCTAGGTTTAATATGCAAAAAAAAAATGAAAAACAAAAAATCAAGAGAGGATAAACTTTACCTAAAGAGTGATTTAATGCAAAAGAATCACTAAGATTAATCCCCACCTTGATTCTCCAATGCTTGATTGTCTTCACTTTCCCTTAGGTCTGAAAAAAGAAAAGAGGAAATTGTTTCTTTGATTAACTTATAAAAAGATTAGATTTTTTTTCCCTTGTTAACACCTCTTTTATTTTTGTTAAATAATCCCGCAATAAAAAATATTAAGAACTCCTACAACCATGTCACAACCCATTTCTCCCACTACTAGTTAGTTGCCTCTTTTTTTACTTCTTTTTTCTTTTGTGTATTGCATCATTTTCCCCTTAAAATAAATTTAGTACTCTAAACTTTACATACTTGAGTTCGTGTCAAAAGTTGCTCATGTGATTACTCCATTAGACCTTAACATATGAATAGTGTGGTGCCTCAAAACTTGCTCCTTCATGTCTACAATCTACATTGATTGCTTCTCATAAGTTAGATCCTCTCTATGTTGTAAAGGGGGTAATCTATCACATGCCCTAGATCTAGTATAAATTTCCTCAACATTGAAACATGAAACACATTATGTACTCCAAGCAAAGGTGGAGGCAAAGTAAGTTAGTACACCACTTCACCAACTCTCTCCAAAATTTAAAATGGACCCATATATCTAGGGCTCAACTTACCTCAAATCCCAAATCTCATCACTCCTTTAGTAGGAAACACCTTCAAGAACACATGATCCCCTACTTAAAACTCCAAGTCTCGTCTTCTATTATCAACATAACTCTTTTGCATGCTTTGTGTTGTGTGTAGTTTCTCCCTGATTAGATGAATCTTATCCACCATTTATTGTACAATTTTAGGGGTCCACTAATCTCCTTTCATCCATATCATCCCAACAAATAGGTGGTTTGCATTTTTTCCCACTAATCTCCTAGTTGGGCCATTGATTCTCGGCCATCACTTGTTGGCATACCAAACAATGTACAACATACTGAGTTACCTCTCTTTTCATGTTGTTCCACCAAAAGTTATCTATCAAATCTCTATACATTTTAGTACTTCCTAGATGAATTGTATATCCCGTGTTATAAGCTTCTTATAAAATCTTAGTGTGCCATCCTCGTGGATACGAAATTCAATGTGCTCTCCAATTTATACTTTCCCCCTAATTTTTTGCAATAGTCCTTTTCCTAAGCAACTTTTAACTCTCTCGATTAATGTGAACTAAACTCTAAGATTTACCAAAAAGTACTCTTGGTTCATGCATTTATACATCAATTCATAACCTCCTAAAATCCTCCAAGGTATGTCTTTAAGTGGTAATTGAAGCTATCAAATTTACTTGTTGCTTTTCTACTTAAAGCATCAACTACAACATTCACATTCCCTGCAAGGGAGTTGACAATCAAATCATAATCCTCTATTAGTTCCAACCATCTTCTCTGTCTCATATTCAATTCTTTTTTAGTGAAAAATGTTTTGGGCTTTTC